TAAATTTTGAAAAAAACATGCTTGAAAAAAGACTATAAAAAGTCTCAAAGATAGGTAAAAAAAAAACCTTTTTACAAAAAAATAAAAAAAAGAATGCCATAAATAAGTTGAGTAAAGTAATGAAAATCCTTTTGTGAATAATAAGATGAATGGAAAAAGAAAAAGTAGTAAAATGATATAAAATGGGATAAAATGTCAAGTGACATCAAATGATGATAAATGATTCTTTAGTTTTGAACTTTTAAACACATGTTTTGAGCCTATTTTATCTATTTCTTTCATGGCTCCTCACCATAACCTACGTCATAATCTTTAAGAGTCTATTTGGATTAAATGTGGATGCTCGAATTGAATGATCATATATTAGGCTAAGGTATGCTTGTGATAGAATAATGGAATCATGCTATGTTGTTTTAGAGATTAATATGTGGAAGATATCAATAATGGATGAAAAAAAAAACAAGAAAAAATGAAAAAAAAAAGAAAAAAAGGGAAAAAATGAAAAATAAAATAATGAAAAAAAAGAGAAAAAAAGACTCAAATTGAAATTTTGAATGGGTAATTTGGGTAAAAAAAATCTTTGAATAGAAAGTTGATAGATAGTTCAAATATATGAAGGATCGAAGATATTTGAAGATCTCTCAAAGTTGAGACAAAGTTCAATGAGTTCAAAATGACTTTAAAAGTCAATGAAATAAGTTTTGAGAAAGAATTTTGGATTAATGTTAAGAATTGTCTAAGTATTCATTATTTGGACATTGTTATACCATTCAATACCATCCCTAGTGACATACTTTAAACTTATTCCTTTGCCTATTTATTTTTGTATCAGACTCACTCCTCATTGATTATCTTTCATAATTCACCTTATACTTTTTTATCCCTAGAATGAATCAAGAAAATATATGATTGCATTATATTTGTCATGCTTTGAAATGATAATGAATGAATAATAATGTTCATAAAAGATTCTTGTATTCTTTTTAAAAAATTCCAGATGATAGAGGGCAATAAAAATAAAAAAATGATAGAAACTTGAAAAGATGATTTGGAAGAACACATGGTGTGACCAAGTGATGAATATGATGATAGTTTGGTCAACATAACTTGTGAGTTGTGATCAAATGATGAAAATAATATGAATTAGTAGATAAAATTTGTTCTGAAATTACTAGTGTTAAGAAACTTGTGAGTTATGATGGAAATAATATAGATCAATAGGCAAAATTTTTTTTGACATTGCCGGTGCTAAGAAGCCCATGAGTTATGATCAAACGAAAAAAAAATAATGTGGATCAATTGACGAAACTTGTTCTAAAATGGTTAGTGCTGACAAGCTGAAAGGAAAAAATATGAGATGGTGGAGACTTAAGAACCATGTTACCACATTTAATTAGAATTTTATGACATTGACATTCATATTACATGCGTTACATTTGCATTGTTGTTTGGAGAATATTTGAAACTTTGGTTTGGCTTTGTGCTTGCATCATGCAATAAATATTTGAATCATGATTTAAAATATGGCATTTGCAGTATTGTGAGATTTTAGAATGTTGCATTTGCATCATTAAGAAAGCATTTGCATCATTATCATGACAAAGTTTTGACTTGGATGAAAGATTGAGAATTTTTATAAAAAGAGATTTTAAACTTTTGGAAGAAAGTTGGACATTTGCATAGCATGCATTTCATTTCTAAATGTTTAGTGTATAGCATGCATTGCATTTAAGAATGTCCAGTGCTTGAAGTAGGGATATTTCATGATTCCCTATAGAGAAGATAAATATGAAAACTTTCCAGTGAAAGAATTTTAACTTCTCATTTGAAAAAAAAAAAAAAAACCTTTGAGGTAAGATTCTGATCCTTGGAAAATGATATTTCTTAATATTATGAACAATTTATAAGACCTCTGGGCATAACTTCTTAAAATTTCTTCAAACATGATCTATGACTCTTTTAAACATGATTGACGAGGATTTACTTTTCTCCAAAGTTGTTAAGCCTCAGCTTGGAGGAGCTTTATTTCTTTTTCCAAAGTCATCAAGCCTGTGCTTAGAAGAGCCTTATTTATTTTTTAAAAATTGTTAAGCTTCTGTTTAGAAGAGCTTTATTTATTTTTTAAAGTTGTTAAACTTTTATTTAAATGAGCCTTATTTTTTAAGTCGTTGAGCCTTTGCTTAGTGAAGCCTTATTTATTTTTCAAAGTTATTGAGTTTCTGTTTAAATGAGTCTTATTTTTTTTTCAAAAGTTGTTGAGTCTCTGTTTAGAAGAGTTTTAATTTTTTTTCAAAATTGTTGAGCCTCTGTTTAGAGGAGCTCAATTTTTTAAGTTGTTAAGCCTTTGCTTAGAGGAATTTTATTTATTTTTTAAAGTTGTTGAGCCTCTATTTAAAGGCGCCTTATTTATTTTCAAAGTCATTAAGCCTCTGATTAGAAGAGTTTTATTTATTTTTCAAAAGTTGTTAAGCCTCTGTTTAAAAGAGCTTTAGCTGTTTTTCAAAAGTTATGGAGCCTTTGCTTAGAGGAGTTTTATTTATTTCTCAAAAATTGTGGAGTCTCTATTTAGAGGAGTTTTTATGTTATTCAAGAAGTCTAAGTATGCTTTAAAAATAAAAAAAAGGGAAAAATATGTCAAGATGATTCTTGATTGAGTTGTCTACCTCTTTGCATAATTTTTATTTCACAAAAAAGTGTAAAAAAGGTAGTTATAGACATCCCAATTTGTCTAAGGTTAATTTTATTAATAAAAAATAAAAAAAATCTAATAGGTTGAATTTGTGTGAAACTGTGTATGTGGAGTGAAGAGTTTAAATTGGACTTAAAATTTAAAATGAATCAAAATTCCTTTCCAGTTTAGAGTTCTCAGATTTGAAATCCTATAAATATAAATCCAATCCACACACAAAAATACATGAATCAGAGACAAAAAGAAAAATCAGAAAGGGGAGATCAGAAAAATATAGGGTAAGAAAGAGAAGAAAGCACGCAAAAGAAGCCAAAGAATAAAAGATTTTTTTGGAGATTTTTTGTTTTAAAAAAGATTTTTTTTCTCAAAAAATTTGAAAAATTCTCAGATTCTAGCAAAATTTTTCAGATTTCGATAAATTTTTTTGCGTCAGTTGAATTTTTTGGTAGATTTTTCAAAATCTAGTAGAAGATTCTAACGAAAGTTGAATTTTTTAGTGAAATTTTGGTGAATCAACCCAGATTTTGGTAACTTTTTCCAAAATTCGATGAAGATTTAATTGGAGTTCTTCAAATTCTAGAGAAAAGAAGAGAAAAAAAAAAAGAGAGAGAAAAAAGAGCAAAGGTGAAGTTTGACCTAAAAAGATTGAATTTGAACTTTTATACCCTCACCGAAATGATGTTGTTTTGGCCTTAAGGAGCTCCCAAGATCCACATGTTTTCCTAACGGGTGATTCAACCTGAGCATAACCTGTTTTGCTAACCCATGTTTCAGCCAAGGCCTCTAGCCGAGTTGAGCCAAGCTAAGTCTTTTGAGCCGTGTCTTTGAGCCATTATTTGTGTCTAAAGCTGAGCTGTTTCAGTCGTCAACCAAGCCGATTTTTGTTATTATTTATTATTTATTTATTTATTCTATTTATTTAGTTATTATTATTTTTTGCATGATTAAATTTTAGAAAAAATAAAAAATAAAAAATTATTTAAGAATAAATACTAATTATCCAATGATGAAATTTTTAAAAATTTCAAATAGTAAATTTCTATAAAATTCATAGATGCAAAATTTTTTTTCTAAATTTGTCCTAAATGGTGAAATAATTTAGATAAAGTTTTAATAATAATAATTAATATTTATTTTCAATTAAAAAAATAAAAAAAGAGAAATTTAATAAAATTTTGGTTGAAAATATTTGACAATTATTCAATGATAAAATTCTTAAAAATTTCAAATGGTAAATTTTCTAAGAAATCTTTAGGTGAGAAATTTTTTTAAATTTATCTCAAATTGTGAAAGAATTTAAATGAAATTTCAAGAAAACAGTTGTTATATTTTTTTCTTCTCAAAGAGAAATAAAATTTCTAAATACGACAAAATGATAAACAATTTAAAAATTAAAAAGAGAAGATATTTATAATCTAGCTCAAATAGTAAAATAATTATATATATTTTCAATGAAATCCAAATCAAAAAATGATTAAATTTTTTTCTGACGACGGAACTTTTTTAAAAAAATAAATAAGATTCTTGAATATTTTTGAAATGAAAAAGTATTTTTATAAGTTTTGCTAAATTAATGAAGAATCTTAAAAATTATTTCTAATATTCAATATTAAATTTAAAACTATTAGAATCGAAATTTTAGGATAATTTAAAATAAAATGATACCATCGTTTGGATGAAAATGTAAAAAATATTTTTTATATGTAACTGAATTTTCGAACTCTGTTTTGATTAATAAATCAGAACTTATTATTTAGAGATCTTTAATTAAGTTTAAAATTTTTTTAAGAGAATAAATTTATTAAATGATCAATTATATTTAAAAAAATTGATAACGATTTTATTTATTAAATTTAACAATAAATTTTTTGATCTGAATATTAAGAGACAAAAGATGAATGCGTTAATGCAAAGGGTTGAACAAGAGTTACCTGCTGTGTCCGACTTGAAGCGTGCTAGCCTTGGAACACTTGTTCGCCAAGGTATTGAAGAAGCACAGGAAATTTATAAATATTAAAATAAATTATTTAAGGATTAGTTAGAAATTGAGAAAAAGAAAAAAAGAAATATTGATATATTTTTCAGTAAAAAAAGGACGCCCACTAAAAATTTTGTTCCCTTGATTTTTCTTGACCACTCGTAATAATATCTGAGAAAGTGAGCGTAGTGAGTACGTTTTTCCTTGACAATGTTGATTTTTCTTTTGTCCAATTAAGTAAGATGTCAGCCAAAGACATTGATTGTAGCATTCAGATAAGATGATCTCCCATGTGACTAAGCTTTGCTTTAGTTTACTGAAAAAGACCTGAGGGTCAGAGGAGACTTTGCATTGACTTGTTGCTCACTCTCAATTTCTTTCATTCCACAAGTTTCATCCCATTCTAACCAAAAGATTATTTGGACAGCAGATTTGCGATTCTACCCTGAATTTCTTGCTTCTTTTCTTCAATACCTCCTTCATTTCAAGCTCTATTGCTGCACTATCACCATATGTTATTAGAGTTGGTAAAGTACTTGTCTATTCCTCGTTTTAATTTCTAATTTCATCTTTAATTATTTTAGTCCATTCTTTTTTTTTTCTTCTTAATTTGTTTTTATTTATGTTTTTATCACTCTTTAAGCATATTTTAATCATATATATATATATATATATATAGAAAATAAGAGATAAAGAAAATGAAATTACAAATGTTAAAGATCGAATCTCAATTTTGTAAAAATTAACTTACCTTCTAAGAAAATCAACGAACCATTGAACTAAATTTTATATTTATAATGAAATCTTTTTCTTTCTTGCTAATTGATATTCGTTCTTCATTGGCCTTTCCTCAATATTTTCATGTTTTGTTTTGGTAAACATGGAGAAATCATCATCATTTATTTCCTTTTTCTCACTTTTCTTCTACTATCTTCTTCCTAATTACATATATATAACTTGAGCAATGCCCTATTTCTTTTTGATTGGCTTCTTCTTTACTGATCATATGCTTCATCTTCATTTCATAGGTTAGGAGAGAGATTGCTCCATCAAATTATCTAGCTTCAAGCTAGGTCTTGAGATCTTTGGCCTCTTCACTATATATGGAACTTGGAATCTCATCATTTTGGAAAGGGATATAATCTTTTATCTTCTTGACTCTCTTCATCGGATGATATTGATGAAGCGATTTGATATATTAGTGATCGACTCGTACTCTTGAGTTATTAATTTTTCAAATCTTGGATTTTCTTTAACTTGGTTGGTGCCTTCAGTCTCACTTCCAATTCCAACAAAACAAACTTGGTTAGTACTTTCATATGTTGATATTCTATTTTACTTACTAGCTATTTAAGGCATAAAAAATACTTTTATTTTGCATTGAGTTGAATGAGTTTCATGTCTATTTCTTTTTTAAAATTATAGTTATAATTTTTATGTTTTATATATTTTTATATTAATGTAGATATAATTTAAATAATTTATCATTGTTTTATTTTTAAGTATAATTATAAAAATGATTGTTCATGTATGTGAATACAAAATAGCCTTTCACTTTTATTATTTTATTTTTAATATGATTTTCCCTTCAAGCAGTTAAATTATAATCCATAACCAAATCATCAATATTAATTTATTAAATAAAAATTAAGGGGTGTGAATGGTTGTGTGATCAACATTAAACATCTTTAGAGACTTTTATTTCTAATAAAAATTTTAAACAATATATATACATTTTTTATTTATTTTTAATTTGTCAATCTTAGCAAAGTGTTTATGATTTATTGATAGAATACACTTTTAGTTCTAATGATCATGATTCAAATCTCGACAACTTTAAATAAAAAAAACATTTAATTTATTAAATAGATATGATAGATTTACAATTAATAGAAACTAAAATTTATCAAATTTAATCAAAATATTTCTTATAATCATTTTTAATTTATAATTGATTAATCTGTAAATTATATGTAGTGTAAACTTTTTTGCTAAAAAGTTAGAAATGAGAAAATTTGTTTCCATTAATTATTTGCAAAAGAGTTCTTTTTTTTTTTTTGTTTTTGATTTTCTAGAATTACCCTTACAATTATCATATATATAAAGTACTAATAAATATTTGCCTGTGATAATTATAAGCTTAAAACTTTCGTTTTGTGTTACATGCGGGGAATAGCTCATGATATGGAGCTTTTAGGGCCAATCGTTGAAGTGATGAAGTGGATTGGGGATCTAACATGGAGATACTTAAACAATCACCGAAAACTTGAAGAAAATGTGAATGATCTCAGAAGAAAACTGAATGATCTAAATATCCGAAAGCAAGATATAGAATCAAGAAAGGATGTTCAACTTCGTCGTAGGAAAGTGGTGAAGAAAGAAGTGGAGAAATGGTTTGAAGATGTACAAAGGATGAATGCCTTAATGGAAAGGGTTGAACAAGAGTTACCTGTTGTGTCCTACTTGAGGCGTGCTGGCCTTGGAACACTTGTTCGCCAAGGTATCGAAGAAGCACAGGAAATTTATAAACAAGGTTGTTTCCCTGATGGTGTGGCCATTGATGGGCCTCCAGCAGTTGGGGTGACATTCCAGATAGTAGATTTAGAAGGTGAAGCTGATGTGAAAGAACAAATTTGGGGATGGTTGAGGGGCAATGAGGTTGGAATGGTTGGAGTTTGTGGAATGGGTGGCGTAGGTAAAACTACCGTCATGAAGCATATCAACAATCAAATATTGAAAGAGAGTCAGTTTGATCAAGTAATTTGGGTGAATGTATCAAAAGAGTTCAATCTTGTCAAGTTACAAGAAGATATTGCATGTGCTCTGGATTATCATCTTCCTAAAAATGAATTGGAATGGCCAACTGCATTGATGAACATCTTGGAGACGAAGAGATTTGTGATGATCTTAGATGATGTTTGGGAAAGATTTTCTCTGTTGAATGTGGGAATCCCAAATCCAACATCAACTAATGGGAACAAATTGGTGATCACTAGTAGATCATTTGAGGTTTGCAAATCTATGGGTTGTGAGGTGCTCAAAGTGCAACCTCTTTCAGAGGAGGAGTCCTTCAACTTATTCTTAAAACATGTAGGGCATAACAATGTTCTACAAGTTCCAAATTTAGAAGAAACTGTAAAGCAAATAGTTCAGCAGTGTGGTGGTTTACCACTTGCCATTGTGACAATAGCTGGATGCATGAAAGGAGTAGATGACGATCGCGAGTGGAGGAATGTGCTAAATGAATTACGCAAAAGGGTTAAAAGTGTAAAAGGAATGGATGTTAAAATATTCGAGTGTTTGAAGTTCAGTTATGATCGTTTGAGAGACTTAAAAATGCAAAATTGTTTCTTATACTGCTCCTTGTATCCTGAAGATTATTCAATTAAAAGGAAGGAGTTAATGGAAAAATGGATCGATGAAGGACTTATCGATGAATTTGAGACTAGACAAGCAATGTATTATAGAGGCCATAGCATTTTAAAGAAGCTTGAAAATAATTGTTTGTTAGAGAGGGGTAACAATGAGGATGAAGTTAAGATGCATGATGTTTTAAGGGACATGGGGTTATTCATTATTAAAAGTGTTGGCCATCAATTCATGGTTAAAGCTGGTATGCAATTGAAGAAACTACCAGGTGAACATGAATGGAAAGGAAATCTTGAAAAGGTATCCTTGATGGATAACAAAATATCTGCAATTCCTGCTCATATATCACCCAAATGCCATAATTTGTCAACCCTGCTATTGCAAGAAAACTACACATTGGAAAGGATTTCAGAATCTTTCTTTGAGCACATGCTTGGGCTAAAAGTCCTCGATCTGTCTAATACCGGTATTCTTGATCTGCCCAATTCTGTATCTAACTTGGAAAATCTTGTTGCACTGGTACTTCGAAATTGTGACAAGTTAAGACATGTATGTTCATTAGCAAAGCTTAGAAAATTGAGAAAGTTGGATCTTTTTAACACAGATATTAATGAGGTCCCTCAGGGTATAGAAACATTAGCCAACCTTACCTATCTTTGTTTATATTCAAATGATCTAACAGAGCTACCAATGGGAATATTACCAATGTTTTCTCATCTCCAATACTTGGCAACCATATTGTTGAATATTCAAGGAGAAGAAGTAGCAAAATTGAATGAGCTTGAGATTCTTTCTGGATTATTTTTTGAGTTGCAAGACTTTGAGAAATATGCCAAGTCTATATTTGGTCAATGGCCTAACCATTACCGGCTTGCTGTGGGATCAACTAGTTTAGACTACTCTGACTATGATCATTGGTTCCCGTCTTTCGAAAATCCTGAACTGTATGAAGAGTTATGCTTTATTAATTGCCAGATAGGGAGAGAAAATCGTCTACTGCTCCCAAATAACCTCAGCACTTTAAGTATTGAGGAATGCCATGAATTCAAAAGCTTAAGCACTCTTTGTTCACTGCATGAAGTTAATGAGCTGAAGACATGTTCTATTTGGCAGTGCGAAGGGATAGAGTGTGTGATTGATTTGTCATTATCATCTTGCAACTCACTTCCAAAAATCGAGAGGCTAAGCTTGGGGGATTTGTGCAACTTGAGTGAACTTGTGAGAGTAGAAGTTGCAGTTATATCTACATCTCATGCTCAAACACAGCCTGCCATGTTCTCTTCTCTTAAAACATTATGCTTGTGGAGCTGTTCCAGTATGAAGAACTTGTTTTCACTTGAGTTGTTGCAAGGCCTTCAAAACTTGGAGCATATCCAAGTTGTTAACTGTAAAGCAATGGAGAAGATAGTAGCATCAGAAGAAACTCATCAAGGAGAAGGAGAGGGTGCCACCACCAACATAGCAACATCTGTTCTTCCCAAATTAAGGGAATTGTCCTTGCAGTACTTGCCAGAATTAAAGATCATTTGTAATGGTGGAGTTATGATTTCTGCAAATTGTCTGGAACATCTGTCAATAATGGATTGTTCAATGCTGAAGAAAATCCCATTATCTCTTCCCATGCTTGATAATGGACAACCATGTGCTCCTCCCTCCCTCGGACGGATCACTATAGGCTCAAGAGAATGGTGGGAATCAGTAGAATGGGATGATGCTAATGCTAAGGATGTCCTTTCACCCTCTGTTTGTTTTGAATAGAATGGGGGTAGAAAAGGAGCTGTTTGATTCAAAGTGCCTCAGCATCTCAATGACTGGTGAGTAGTCTTGCTTCTTCTTATACCTAGCTATAACATCCAGCCGATCCACCATAAATTCATTTTCATTTTCTGTGAACCTAGCAATTTGTGTATTTGTGTAAAATATTGAAATTCATATATTTGTATTATGTTTTACATGAAAATTATATATAATAATTTGTAACTACACGAAAATATGAAATATAATTTTTTTGATTTTATTAAATTTATATATAATTATTATTAAAATCTTAAACTGAGACACCATTTCTTATTTTCATATAGTATTTGTTTCGTATTTTAAATTGTTTTAAGTTGTTAGATATACTCAAAGGTCTATTAATTTTCACAATTTTCAGGTACATTTGTAGATTGGCAAGAAATTGTTGTGAAGAGGCATTTCAAATTTCGAGGAGTTTTAGATTCAGAAATGAAGTGAAATTGATTGTTGCCTTGGAGGGTATAAGAAAATGTAACTCAAAAAGTTGATGCATGCTTACAAAGCTAGGATTTCTTCGTATTTGATCTGGATCACTGACAATACATATCATGTAGTAGGTTTTCTATATTTTATCATTTTTTTCTATTTTAATTATTATTTATATTTAAGGAAACATTACTTATAATAATTACATATTAAATTTCATATAATTATAGGTTGGATTGATCTACAAACATATATGATACACATAACCTATTTTTATTTATATTAATTTTTGATACATGCATAATGTACGATAATTTTAAGCGCTAAAAATTTATTTCATTAAATTTTTTATGTTATATTAATGATGATAAATATTAATAATTTAATTCGAATCTCAATCCATATATATATATATATATTTTCAAAACGTCGTCTTTGAAAAAAACATTAATAGAAAGACATAAAAATGTAAGTTAAGATAACTTGATCAATGATCTTGGAAAAGATCTTGAAAAGATAGAACAACCAAGATCATTGGAAGAACCTGAAAGGTTTGGTAGGTGAAAATTTTTAATATAGAAGAAACAAAAATAAAATACGAACAAAAATTAGAAGAAGATCATATGATATCTATTTATTTAGTCTTTAGAATCTCTTATTGTTTCTTGCAAATTTAGAAGTTAAAATTTTGTAAATAAATTTAATAGCCTTAATATCCCATTTTATACATATATGGTTTGCTTGTCAGATCACAACTACATTAAAAATTATTACCTTAATATTAATATAATTAAAATTAAATGAATTAAGAATTTAATTTAATTTATTCATATTGAATAAGTTTAAAATTCGAATTTTAACCATAACTCCTTCCCTAACCTGCGGCTTTTTATATAAAAAATTAATTAAAATTAAAAAATTGAATTATTTACTCTTCTTTTCTTCCATGAAAATGCATGGTAAAAAGTTAAAAAAATTCGAATAAATATTCAATAATTATCAAATTTTTATCATTTATTGTAATCAATTAAGAATTCAAATATTTATTTTTATTAATTAAGTCTTTATTAAAAGAAAATTGATTAACTATTAACATTCTTTTTTGTCAAATTAAAGTTTCAATTGAGCTAAAAAAATATTTAAAAATTCAATTAAATAAAAATAAATATTTAAAAATTCAACTTATTCAAAATAAAAATTTTATTAATTACAATAAAATATCACATACCAATAAAAAAATTGATAGTTCTAGTGAAAACAACCTATCTAGCAAACATCCCTTGATTTTCTTTTTAACTTTTAGATTACGGTGAAATTTAAATTGGAAGTCAACAAATCTAGAACTGATAGCTAAGTCCAGTTGTTATCGACTTTAATTGCCGGTTGACGTTCCACCAGTCAAATTACTTCACTGACCAGCTAAAATACCTTTGATTGATTTCATCAGAACGCGTGTGAAGACCATATTCCATTATCCTTTTCAATAATTAAAAAATAATAAAAATTTTTATTACTTTATCTTAAGACAATAATGAATTATTTTTAATTAAATGTAGTTAATATTTATTCAAATTATTTTTATTCTTTAGTTAATTTTGAATTATTTTTAAATTAAATTTAAAATCATTAAGTTTTAAGTTATACAAGGTTTTTTACACCAGTGTTTTGCATGGTTAATTTCATAATTAGGGAGTATTAGAATTTATAAAATTTTGATAATTATATGATTTTATATTGTATCATCAATATCATATTTTTTTTAATATTGTATTTAAATTTTAAATATAAATATGAAAATTTTAATAGTAAAGATGGATTAAATTATTCCATTTGCCATAACAATTTGAATATAAAATGCTAGTTTTATTGTTCTTTAGTTATTTGATGATAACAAAAATACTTTTTGTATCATGAATTTATTCTATTTAAAATTTATTTTTAATAAATGATGTGTTTTATTTGTCTAAAAAGTGGATAGTATTACAAATGGTACAAACTATATATTGACAAATACAAATGCAAAATTAAGTGTAGAAATGTTAGTGAAAATCTCATGTGTTCACAGGCTATACTGTTAATCTCAGTAATAAGTTGTATTATAAATTCTTAAAATTTATAGTTGCACTAAAATCTATATTTTTTAAGAGACTTACTTTTGAGGAGTTGAATTTAAGAAAATTCACCTATGCCAATCATATTGAATTTGAATTCATTATAAAAATATTGTTAGGACTAGAAATTCTTTAAAATTGATTTATATTAATTATATTCACATGGTTTTGCTCTATTAAAATTTAATTTAAATATTATTTATGAAGGTTTTTAATCAAATTAGGTCTTATACATAAAAACAAAGATATATAGATATAAAGAGAATAACATGTTCTTAAGTTTTAATATAATTGCATCTTAAAATTTATTCAAAAAAAATTTTACTATCCCTTAAATAAAAGTTGATTTTGTGAATCACATTAATGAATTTGTAATTCTAATGCTAAAAAGGACATGTTACTAAATAATTAGATAAAGAAACTTAGATAAAATATTTTTATTTTTAATTAAAAAAATATGAGACTCAACTTTATTAAATCCAGTAAAAAATTTTAAAACGAAAAAATAAATAGTACAAAAAGCATTTATCATTATTTGTAAATAAAAGAATCAAATAAAAATTATTGAATTTGATTATCCAATTAAAAAATAAAAAAATAAATGTAAAGCAATATAATTCTTCTTATAATTTTATGAATTATTACACTCAAATTTAGAATATAAAAAAATTTTAATTAAAATTTTGTTAACAAGTATTAGAACTTCTTTGATATTTTAACTTTGTATAAAAATTCAAATGAACTTGTTCCGTAAAATAAAATTATAAAATTTTAAGAGACAAATAAATTACTTATACTTTAAAAAATAATAATTTTTTAATTAATGAATTTGTCAACAAATATATTCATTAATGATCATAAAATTAATTATTTAATATTTAATAAATTTTAATAATTAATTATGATAATTGGTTTTTTGGGCTTTCTTTACCTTTTTGTTTTCTTCAATTTAAAAGTAATATTTATCTATTAATTGTATTTTCTTTGCTTTCTTTATCTTTTCGATATGTGCAATTTTAAAAATAATATTTATCTATTAATTATGATCATTGATTGTGTCTTTTGGGTTTTATTATCTTTTGATTTTTTATGGTATTGAAGATGATATTTGTTTATTTAAAATTAGATTAATTGTGATAATTGATCGTATTTTTTGGGCTTTATTTGCCTTTTAATTTTTTTCAATTTTAATAAAAATATTATATATTTATTAATTTTGATAATTAATCATTTTTTTATCTTTTGATTTTCACAATTTTAAAGAGATATATTAAATTAATTATGTATTACTTTCTTTGCCTTTTGGCTTTACTTTTTCTTTTTTTCAATAATATTTATCTATTAATTGTGGTAATTTATTATTCATTTTTTTTTTACCTTTTCATTTTTTTCAACTTTAAAAATTATATCTATCTATTAATTGTAATAATTGATTATGTCTTTTGAGCCTTTTTTTTTGTCTTTTGGTTTTTTAAAATTTTAAATATAGTAGTCATTTATTTAAATTGGATTAACATTAATCATTGAATGTGTTTTTTTTTTTTTTACTTTATTTACCTTTTGATTTTTTTTATTTTAATAAAAGTAATGTCTGTTTATTAAGTATAATAATTTATTTTTTTTATTTTTCTTACCTTTCGACTTTTCATCATTTTAAAGAGATACATATTACATTAATTGTGTATGACTTTTTTTGCCTTTTAACTTTCAACAAGCTTAAAAATATATAGTCATGTCTGTGTGTATATATATATATATATATATTAAACTCTTTATTTATTTAATGAGATTTTCAAATAATTTACATTAATATGTATTTAATAAATTCCATAACATGAATAAAAAAAATACATAAACTTGCTAACAAGTAGAGAGATATAAATATAAATTTCATTATAATAATTTATTTAATATATGATATTTAAAATTTTATATGGATATATTTAATTTTTAATTTTTAATTGTAAATAACATATTAAAAAATGATCTTGTAACACATAGGTTAAAATAACCTAATTGAGTAATGAAAAACGTTTAAAATGTTGGACTATCAATAAAAGTATTCTTCTAAATGGTATGTATTTTTATTTGCTATAAACCAAATTTTGTTTAGGAAATTTATTAGATGTTGAAAATTACCAATATTGCAATTTAACTAAAAAATTCATCAATTTTTAAAAGAATGAGGTACAAACAAATTTAAAAGAAAAATATAAGAGATTTTAATAAATTAACTTAAACAATGTGAAAAGGTAAGAAATTCATTATTTAATATTAATTATTACATTTATTTATCTTTCAAAAGAAGAAACAATCATTTTAATGAATATATCAATCTTATGAAAAAAAAGAAGTCAGCCCCTAAGAAGTAAAAATGTTACTTAGAGTACTTTTCACTTAGTGTTTTGTTTTACTTTAAATAAAACTATCATATTTAAATGATAAATTTTGCGAATTTGGCATTAAATCTATAGTGTTCATTTGACCTCAAATTTATTTAATAAGAAAATTTTCAGCTTTCTTTTTTAGCTATACTTGTGCCTTTTATAAATGAAAATTTATATAAAAATTTGTAGTTCAAACTTGAGCTTTAAGTCATGGATGTGGAGAAAAAAAATGTAAAAAAAAAGACAATTATTTTTTGCTAATTAATAAAAACATAAATTACCTAGGAATGTAAGACCTTGGACCTGATCTTAGAGCCATTAATCAATGTCGTAGTTAAAAAGAACTGTTATCATTAACAAATTCAAGACATTCTTTTGATAAAAATTAAATTGAGAAAAATTATTAAAAAAAGTCAATAAATTGAGTCTTGGTTTCAATTGTGGATTTTATGAATTAGTATTAAATCCAAAAAATCTTATCCAAATTCACATATATTTATAAAATTAATATTTTTATGTGTCTTTTTTTTTTATATTGTTAAAGTAGGAATTCAAATGAAAGTTCCATTATTATAAGTTATCACTTTAATTCATGTTTTCAAGCATGAGCATGAATGAAAAAAAATAATTATTTAATGTGTTGTTTTGAGAAGAATTTATTTACAAATAAATAAATAAATTT